CAGGGAGGCCTGGCATGCTGTGATTCATGGGGTTGCAAAGAGTCAGACACGACTGAGCAACTGAACTGAACTGAACTGAAGGCAAGATTACATGAACATTTTGCATGTTATATTGTAATGACTGGTTTATGTGTGCGCCTACACAGGAACCCCTATGTTCCTATGGGGGTGTAATATCTTCAGTGATAAGCTTTATACTGTGTTACTCATCTTTGCATTCATACCATCCAGTACAGTGACTAGAATCAAGGTGAACTGTAGTAAATGTTTATTAAACTGCAGGGGCTCTGTATAATTAAATAAGGATAAATTAAGCATGAGGTATTCTAAGCTATGGAGTTCACTGGTATTTGACATCATTTGAGTTCATATTTAAATATTTTTATTCCTCTGCATGTATTAATGTTCAGAAAATAACTTGGGAATGTCACATATTGATGGCAATCTTTTCAAATGTTTGTATTTACTTCTTTGGTCTGGTAAATGGAGTCTATTAATCACAATTTTGGTATTTTTGGTAGCTCAAAATTTGATAGTGTTTTAATCTGCATTTTCCACACAATTAGTATTTATTTTCTGCCAATAGGTGAAGATATCAGAGATGAAAGTTTAAATAGACTATGTGAAAGTTAATACTGTTTTCTTACCAAATCTATGATAAATTAGTTCCTTTGGTTATAAATTCTAAAAGTCACATTTTTACTATAGAAAATTTAATTAGAAAGCAAAGTCCACATTTGGAATATAAAGAATGATTATATTTTTAAAATCACAGTTGAGGACTGGTTTTTAATTTTATTAAATGCAATATTTTACCACTCATGCTGCTAATTTCTCTCTTTTGTTTCTCAAGTGATATGATTTTTTTAAATGTTGCTTTTAATCATGCTTCCCAGATGGTGCTAGTGGTAAAGAACTCACTGGCCAATGCAGGAGACATAAGAGGTGAGTTCTATCCCTGGGTTGGGAAGATCCTTGGAGAAGGAAATGGCAACTGACTCCAGTATTCTTGCGTGGAGAACTCCATGGACAGAGGAGCCTGGTGGGCTACATTCATGGTCTTGCAGAGTGGGACGCAACTGAGCAATTAACACTTTCACTTTCACTTTATAATTATGTCTTTTTTTTTTTTTACCCTTTGAAGGATTTTACTCTTGGAAGGACCTTTCTTGATCGGTCACTAAGAGTTGGACACGACTGAGCTACTTCACTTTCACTTTTCAGTTTCACAAGCGGAGAAGGAAATGGCAACCCACTCCAGTGTTCTTGCCCGGAGAATCCCAGGAACTGGGGAGCCTGGTGGGCTGCTGTGTATGGGATCACACAGAGTCAGACACGACTGAAGTGACTTAGCAGCAGCAGCAGCAGCAGCAAGGCAAAAACAAAGAAATGAAATTAACAACAAAAAAACCTTAATTAAAATGTGTTTATGAATTGTGTACGCTTTTGGTTAGTTTTGCCTTTATAATACAAGCAAAGTTTTGCAAGTTTGGTTCTGTTTTTCTCTAAAATGAAATTTAATACTTAACTCCTAACTTCAAAAGAGAAGTGATACATGCATCATCATTTACAAATGGATTTGCGATTTGGGATTAATATGAAGGGTTGTTTGTAAACAAACATGGCTTTCAGTTGCGTATTATAGAATGCAGACTTTATCAGAGAACATCCCAGGAAGAAAGTTTCTTTCTCTCTCCCTTTCACTCTTTCTGTTTGATTCACCTCTGAGTGTTCAGTTTGTAAAAGTGCCAATCAAATACACAGTATTCAATAAATATTTGTTATTTCAGTCATCATGTTACAGAAAATGGATTTGTATATGTTATCTTAAATTTTATTTTCATTGTTGAAAAGACCTCAGGTGATATAGATGAACAAGCTTGTTAAATTATCAAGGGGTTTTGGTTTTGTTTTCATTTTTAAACAGATGATAATTAAAGAGCAAGGCAATTAAATATAAGGTCAGTTCATTTGACACAGTGAAAATAACTTTAATGTGCTTAAATTTAGCTAATGCTATAGTTAAGTCTGCGAACATTTCAGGGGTTGTGTATCTTCAATAAACTTTGTACCCTTTTTTGTTCATAAAGAATGACTATATTGCAGATAACCAAATAGTCAAGCTTTGTTTTCAGCTCTTTCTTTTAAAACAAAAATTTGTTTTTAATATTACAATATTTTTCATTTAGCTAAAAGTCATTATTACTTTTATTTGCAGTGCAAAATTATAAAAGATTTTGTGAGAGTAATAGCTGTCCCCATATTTTATTCAGGAAATCTCATTTTTTTCAAAGGATATTTGTTTGATTTGTAATCTAGACATTACTAGAAATTTTATATTATAATTAAATTGTGGTACTTAAATACAGGGAATGCTTTTCATAATCCTGCCCATGCACTAAAATAAATTAATCTATACTTGGCACTTTACAAATATTTTAAAATTTAATAATTTTAAGAACACTGTAGATGTTTTATTCCAATATTACAGATGAGAAACTGAAGTTCAGAATATTTAAGTAACTTTGCAAATATGTTGCTCTTGAAAAGTGGCAGAGCCAGGATTTAAATAAAAATATGCCACATTGTAAAGATTTTACCTTTTGCTGCAATACTGTACTACTTTTCTCACAATGCTTCCTGCTGCTTCCATTTGAGTCCAAGGCTGTTTATTGATCTTCTGTTATGTACAAAATGTGACAGTCTGGTTTGACTTTTGTCTCTGTGCTTCATGACACCTGAAGACATCTAATTCAACCCAAGTCTCTCTTTGAAGTCAAATTACTTCTTTGACCCTTCTTCTTTTTTTTTTTTTAACTGGCCATAAAACAAAACTTTAAGTTATATTTCCTGTGATTTTTTTTCACTATACTTCAAATTTTTTTAAACAAAATTGTTTCCTATTCTTAGACCAATATCCCAAGTTAACTTTTAGTCTGAAATTTTCCTTCACTGACCACAATTATGTGACTTTTAAAAAAAATTTGTGTGTCAACCAACAGGTGTTTTGAAGAATATCAGGTCAATAAATGAATAGAATCCATAAATGTGAGGACCATTAGGAAAATCAGAAATCCTGGCTCCTTATCTTGAAGAAATGTGTGGAATAAAGATACTTAGAAGTTAAATGAATGTCTTAAAATCAGGCATCTGATTAGGGAGCTCAGATATTAAGACTCTTGAGCTTTCATTATATATTTCTGCAATTCCTTCAGCCAGCTTTCAGTACTGTCTGCATGTTTTTTACTTGACTTCTACAACTGCTTATTTTGTTTTCTTTATTTGGCTATTCATCCCCCCAGAGACACGCACTCCTTGAAGTCATGGCTTGGCTTCATTATCAAGTCCTGGTATGATTTTGAAGGGTCTCATGGAGTATTTCATAATTTATATGATATCAGATGCTTCTGAAGAGCATTACAAATGAAAAAGCTACATATTAGCTATTTGTGGTCCTTGAACAATGCTGTTAACATCAACCCATGGTTTTTTTCTTATGAGATCAGAAAGCTTGTATACAGTCTTAACTCTATTCATAAAGCAATTAAACTCTTTGAAAAGAGACTGCTGCAAACAAAGAAAATATCAATCAGCCAAAGAAAAAATAGAAAAATAATTTTCTTAGTTGATCTTTGAAATGCATAATACCTTGTTTTCCTGTTCACAATACTGGGAGTTGATATTAGCGTTAAGATCAGTGACAAAACACCTCGATTAATAATTTCAACTCCAATATCATTCTAAAATAAGAAAATATGCCTTTGTCTAATTTGATGACAGGAAGGATAATCAATAATCAGTGAGAGCATTTAGTGACCAAATAAACATTAACTGGACAAATAAAGAAATTTAAAAATATTTATTTCTATTGGTGATATACAGGCTTATATTTTACAGTTCAACTAAAATAACATTTGCCAAAACCAACTGTATGGCATCTTTAAATACCAACATTTACAGACCATGCCACACACATTTATAGGAAGATATATATAACTATTAGCATCATCTTATTTGAATAATATAGTATTAAATTATTCAGTGAGATGAGATTTGGAACAAAAACATGATCAGTGGAAGAACACTTTCTGAATATAAGCCAGTGTGGCAGATGCCTGAGTTCCCAGGGCCTTGGACTCTTTGCTCTTTTATTTCTTCTCATTCCAAAAATGAGGCTCCTCGGGGGATAAACCTCTTCTGGTCGTTATTGAAATGACGGACTACCCACTGTTTTGGTGGGAAGTTCCCCTCACAGATGAGAAGATGTTTCTGCCTGGAGCTATTGCATCATCTGGTCATGTTTCTGTGACCAGCAGTGTGGCTCTGTGTGACTGGGTGAGCCCGTGCTCACTTTGGAAGGAGCCCAAGTGTGGATCACATTATCAGTGATCAACCTAGGTTATGTATGATCTGGAAGTTCTGTAGAGATGAATGTGTCCTCCCAGAAGTTTCTGGTGCTGGTTTATAACTAGAGGTGATAGATTGCTATTCAAGAGCCAGGATTAGTAACCCAAGAAAGAATGGTCATCCTCTCCCATTATGAGAACTGGATTGCTGCTATACTTTCTATAATCAAGCCATAGAGAAGCTTCATCATTATAGAAGTGTCATAGACAATACATGTCTATCTGAGCATTGTATAGTCTGCCTCTAGAAAAAATTTCAAACTCAATAATTGGTCAATCTGTTGACAATTTTGCAAAAGTTTAACCTTTACTTAACTTTACAATCTTGTACAACACTGTTATTTCTTCCTTATGCCTTTTAATTAAGCAGCTTTCTGACTATGAATGAAATGAAGTTGAATGGAAGCCTTTACAGAATATCTTGGTAGATACAGTATATATTGTTAGACAAATAACAGTTTTGATTTGTGTTTTTTAAATCATTTCAAATGATGCATTTATTTTAAAAGACATACCCATTTGTTAACATAAACATGCTGTATCTTAGAAGCAAATGAACAAGCTTATGAATAAAATGAGCAAAAATAATTTTCTTTATAGCCAAATGGCAACATCTGACTTCACATCCTGGAATTCATTGTAGGTAAATGAACGTGATCGTCTTCTAAGATTTGTTGGTCTCTGTGATCTTCCTTCTGTCAAGTCTAAATAGATGTCAGATTTCAGAAAACGCATGTAACTGTCTTGTTCCATGAGTTGATATACTCTGCTTTGGGCAACATCAAAACTGTGGAGGGTGGGTTGGGTGATGCTCTTGGAGATGATTTCTTTGGTGTGAAAATCAAGGTTAACCTGGATAATAATAACAACAAAATGGTAATTACAGTCCATCTCCTTAAGTAAACACATTGAGAAACAAAAGTACAGGACTGATTCCAGGTCAGAGAGGGCAGACTGTGCTAGGATGCCAGGTGAGTTTCCTGTTGTGGGCCTAGGAATCCAGTGATTCATTCTGGGACGTCATTTCATCTGGCTCTTCTCTTCCTGTGAGCCTGTTCTTTCTGTCCCTGCTAATGCAGCATCATGGACCATTGAACTGGTACATACCCTAGAGATCATTAGATTCAACTCATTTTCAAAGTGGAAACTAAACTTTGTAGAAATTTAATTATTTTGCGTGAAGGTTAATAGTGTGTTTGGGACATATTTGGGATTTCAGTGTGAGGCTTTTGCTATATTTCAATGCTTTTTTCATTTTATTATATACCTATAAGTATTCGTGTGTTGAAAATGCCTATCATCTTTTAAAGACATAAAATCTTTAAGGTTTTTTATCAAAGCACTGATGACATATTGGTGGTAAATTTTTAGTTTTCAGGTAGGTTTCTTCATTTTCCTTGATGGGTAACGCCACATAACCAGCTGCCTTTGTTTGCATGTGTGCATTCTCAGTCACTCAATCCTGTCCCATTCTTTTAAGACCCCATGGACTATAGCCCACCAGGCTTCTCTGACTATGGGATTTCCCAGGCAAGAATATTGGAGCGGGTTGCCACTTCCTCCTCCAGGGAGTCTTCCCAACCCAGGGATCAAACTTGAGTGTCTTGCATCTCCTGCATCGGCAAGCGGATTCCTTACCACTGCACCACCTGGGAAGCCTTGCTTTTGTTTACCTGTGTATAAGTTTGGCCTTGGGGAAAACAGGATAATACATTGAAACACAAAACAAATTGAAACACACTGAAACTAGGAAAATAAGTGTCATTTCATGCAAAATGATGTCTATATAGGTAATGCTACTTGATGGACAATACCAATTTATAGTCAAACAGAAATCTTAACAGTGACAGACTACAAGTTCTATCCTTCAGTGAAAAGACTCTATTTATTGAACACATACTAGAAATATAGAAACTCTAATTCATATTCAAGGATAATCAAGTAATACTTGCTAGTTTATTAGCCATTTTAGTAATTCTTTGATACAGTTACCTAATACTGAGCTTGCAATCAAAAAAGAAAAAAATCACAATTGCTTTTTCACTTGAATTCATTAGCACATTAGGTTTAGCTTATCTTTCTATTATGAAATTTTCTTTTCATCTATCTTAAGGTATGGAGATGATAATTATAGGGCAACTTAAACTTTTTACAGGTAGGTGAACTAACATTAAAATGGTGTATGATACAAGCTTCTTGATTTCTCGTACCTTCACCACGTGTAAACATATTTAGTTTCTACAAGAGGTTACTTGTGCTGTGATTAATATGATAAACAAATAAATCTTAATGTTCACTCTTAGTCTAGAATAAAAATATCTCAAGGAGTAATTTCAATTATACCTTTCTTTCCGTGGCAGTATCTTTATTTTTATTTATCTTATTTATCTTATAATGCATTCTGTTTGTATATAGAAACCTATATACAAGCATATCTAAGAGATGTTTTGGGTTCCCTTCCAGATTACCTCAATAAAGAGACTATCTCAGTAAAGCAAGTCACACAATTTTTTGGTTTCCTAGTGCATAAAAAGTTATGTTTATGTGATAGTCTAAATGTGCAGTAGAATTATGACTGAAAATACAATCTACATACCTTAAATAAAAATACTTTATTGCTAAAAAAAAGACTAACCATCATCTGAGCCTTAAGCAAGTGGTAGTAGTAATATCAAAGAACACTTATTACAGATCACCATAATAAGCATAACAATGATGTAAAAGCAAGAAATATTGCAAAAATTATCAAAATGTGACACAGAGACAGGAGGTGAGCCAGTATTGTTGGAAAAATGGCACTGATAGATTTGCTCAAGGCAGGGCTGTCACAAACCTTTAATTTAACACAGTATCTGCAAAATGCAGTAAAAGTGAAGGGCAATAAAATGAGGTAAAATGTACAGAAGTACTGATTTGATGAAGTCATATTCTCTCAAAAAGTTTTCAAACAAATGTACATTTTTAGAATCATCTTTACCTCTTGTGGAGCATCATTCTGTATAAATTTCTCATATATTGCTTTTGCTTTACGAATTATTTGTTGAGGGTCTTTGCTTTTCTTGAAATCTTCACAGGCTATCCAAAACTCAATGTTTTCCTCACTGAATTCAGTTTTAAGAAATCTGGTAAAAGTCTCCAGTCCATCTACCAAGAAAAGACATGACATATTTTAACTATAAAATATTCATTCTGAGAAAACATATTACTTTATATTAAAGCTTAACCATGACTGTTAGCAGAAGAGGTGTGCTGTCTTCTCTCTAATTCAGGGCAGTAGCACACATCTTGGTCTTCCCTGGTGGCTCAAAGAGTCTGTCTGCGATGCAGAAGACCTAGATTTGATCCCTGGGTCAGGAAGATCCCCTGGAGAAGGGAATGGCTACCCACTCCAATATTCTTGCCTGGAGAATTCCATGGATAGAGGAACCTGTAGGATCTATGGGGTCACAAAGAGTAGGACAAGACTGAGTGACTAACACTTTCACTTTCTTCATTACACAGCATACATCTTGTACCATATATATGAGAGTGGTTGTTCAGTTGTTCAGTCATGACTGACTGACTGAGACCCCATGGACTGAGACGCCAGGCTTCCCTGTCCTTCACTATCTCCCAGAGTTTGCTCAAACTGTGCATTCAGTCAATGTCCTTCCCTGTCCATTGAGTCAATGTCCTTCCCTATCTTTCACTATATTCCAGAGTTTGCTCAAACATGTCCATTGAGTCAATGGTGCCATCCAACCATTTCTTCTTCTGTCACCCCCTTTTCCTCCTGCCCTCAATCTTTCCTAGCATCAGCGTCTTTTCCAATGATGGACCATGTATGAATTAGCTGATTTCTTCATGACTATGAAAAAGAAGTACCATTTCTGTTGAAATAAGTCCAGTATCATACTTAGACATGAGTAACAGGGATCTTTGGGCTTTCCTGGTGGCTCAGTGGTAAAGAATTGACCTGCCAATGTAGGAGACATGGGTTCATTCCCTGGGTAGGGAAAATTCCCTGGAGAAGGAACTGACTATCCACTCCAGTATTCTTGCCTGGGGATCCCGTGGACAGAGGAGCTCGGTGGGCTATAGCCCATGGGTTTGCAAACAGTCAGACATGACTGAGCACGCACACAGGGTGACACTTATTTCTCTTTCAGCCATACCTCTCCCTGGGCTGTGTGTGGTAGGGTTATTCTATACAGCCAAGGAGCCATTCCAGCTGGAGACCATCACAACTTCTAGACCATGCTTCTTAAATTCAGGGCCTTAGAATTCTCTGTAAAAAAGACTTTGTGTTTACAGGATTTACATAGACCTCTTTGCCAAGTTCATCCACCAAAGGCACCTGATCCAGTGGAATGCACACTCCAAGGCTTGGATGTGGACAGGACTTGAATTTGCATGCTAGGGTGCTCACCCAAATGTGATAGGAGGCATCTCACAGTGTGGCACCAAACCATGGATGGAAAGTGAAAGAAGGCAGGCTTTGCTATTGGGGTAGAACTGAGAAGAGTATGAGAATCTTAAAATCAAACTTAATCTGCCAAGTATCAAAACAGAAGGATAGAATATCTGCTTTTAAAGGTTTATTAGCCTGATCTATAACTGTGGAGAAGGGGACAACAGAGGATGAGATGGCTGGATGGCATTACCAACTCAATGGACATGAGTTTGAATAGACTCCGGGAGTTGGTGATGGACAGGGAGGCCTGGCATGCTGTGATTCATGGGGTTGCAAAGATTCAGACATGACTGAGCAACTGAACTTAACTAAACTGATAACTGTTAAGCATCTAGAAATGTAGTACGGGGCCTCCATTTTCACTTTTGTCCTGAATCCCGTGAACATCAGGGGCAAGTATCAAGTCTTATGGAAGACTGCTAGGGTTCAAGTTCTTGTTCAGCTAGTGACTATGTGGGATTGCCTTGTGGCTCAGCTGGTAAAGAATCTGCCTGCAATGCAGGAGACCTGGGTTCGATCCCTGGGTTGGGAAGATCCCCTGGAGAAAGAAAAGGCTACCCACTCCAGTATTCTGGCCTGGAGAATCCCATGAACTACAGTCCATGGGGTCGCAGAGTTGGACACGACTGAATGACTTTCTTATCTTATCTTAGGTGGTGTTGCGTGAATTGCTTTTCCTTTCTGTGACTTGGTTTCTGAGTATTAAAATGAAGATAATGATAGCATCTACCTGATAGAGCTATTTAGAGAATTAAATGTGACAAAATGTGCAAAGTGTGGTTAAAACAGAAACTGACACATAGTAAGTACTCTGAGTTTTGATGGTGATTGTGATAAGGGTATTGATGATCTTGATGATTAAAGTATTTTTAAAGCTCAATTAGGTAAAGTTTCATAGCTAAAACTGTGGCAGACTCAGAATTCAACATTAAGACAACCTGACTTTAAAACTAGTTCTCAAAAAAAAAAAACAAAAACTAGTTCTCTTTCAATTATTTACAATATTCTAGTCTTTTTGACTTACAGATATTTTTTACATTAAACTTCTTTGAGAAAATTGTACATTTACATGTAGTCATAGAAAATAAAAGAGCCCATGTACCTTTTATCCAGTTTCCACTGATATAACATTTCATAAAACTAGTAAAATATCACAAATAGGATAATGATACTGATATAGTTAAGATATAGAATATTTCCATGATTACAAGAATATTTCCTGTTGCTTCTTTACTGTTATACTCACATTTTCCCCATATCCAACCCCTCCTTAAACTTTAGGAATCAATAATCTGTTCTCCATTGTAATAATTTGTTTAATTCAAGAATATGATATAAGAGGAATCAAGCAGTATATATTGCGTGGGGTGGCTTTTTTCATCTACCATGACTCTCTGGAGATGCATCAATATATCAATAATTTCCTCCTTTTCATTGCTGTGTTGTATTCCATGATGTAGATTTGTTTAACCATTACCATTGAACTATTGAAGGCTTTCCTGGTAGCTAAGACAGTAAAGAATCTGCCTGCAGTGCAGAAGACCTGGGTTATATCCCGGGATTGGAAAGATCCCCTAGAGAAGGGAATGGCTACTCACTCCAGTATTCTTGCCTGGAAAATTCCATGGACAGAGGAGCCTGGAAGGGCATACAGTCCATGGGGTCACAAAAAGTTGGACACGACTGAGCGACTGTCACTTTCACTTCCACTTGTCATTGAAGGTTTTAGGGAGCTATTATCAATAATGTTGCTATAAACATATATGTATACATCTTTTAATATAGACATATAAGATTTTATTTCTCTGGGATAAGAGAAGTGAATCTGTTCAGCCATATGGTATTGAAACAGAGAATAGGGCATTCATTGTAGGAGCATTAATAAAATGTTCCTTTTAGATTTTTCAGATAAATTCTCGCAGTGGAATTCACATTTGAGTTGGATACAATTGATTCTTAGTGATCTTTCTTTAGATTTGTTCTCCACTCATTCAATCACTAAGTCATGTCTGTCTCTTTGCAACCCCATGGACTACTGCTCACCAGACTTCCCTGTCCTTCACTATCTCCCAGAGTTTGCTCAAACTCATGTCTGTTGAGTCGATGATGCCATCCAACTGTCTCATCCTCTGTCGCCCCCTTCTCCTCCTACCTTCAATCTTTCCCAGCATCAGAGTCTTTTCCAATGAGTCAACTCTTCACTTCAGGTAGCGAAGTATTGGAGCCTCAGCATCAGTCCTTCCAGTGAACACTCAGGGTTGATTTTCTTTAAGATTGACTGATTTGATCTCTTTGCTATCCAAGGGACTCTTATGTGTCTTCTCCAGCACCACAATTTGAAAGCATCAATTCTTCAGTGCTCAGACTTTTTAGTGATCTAACTCTCATGTGGTTGTGGCTTCTCTTTCTGCTCTTACAGGTGAGTTATTACAAAAGGAAATTGCAGAAGGCATGAGTTCTATCTGGATTTCTCACTTGGCAGCATTTGATAATAACAATAATCCTCCTTTTTTAAATATTCTTCATCCTAGGATTCTAGGACAGCATACTTCCTAACTTTTACCATCCAATCACTTTAATGTAATTGTCTGCTCTGGCTTAACATTGTTTGTTCCCTGGTTAAATGTGATGTTCACGGGGATTCTTTACAGTCTTCTCCTTTTGTCCCCTCTTTCTATTTCTATTTCCCTTTTTTAGTCTATTCTCCTGTATCTTCCTCTTATAACATTTTCCCTGAAACTCCTTTCCCTCTTACCTTCCTCTGAATTTTATGCATATTGCTGGCACCTACAGGCAAGATAAGGTATTAAAAATAATCTTGGAAAACAATAAAGTGTTTTTGAGTTAAATTTAATTTTAACTAGAACAAAATAATTTTAATCTCATCATATAAAATCATTAAAAGAAATTTTTCTCTTAACCTCAGCTATTTCTCCAGCTACTGATCTATATCTTTCCCCTTGCAAATACAAAGTCTTTTGAGTAAGCTTTATACAGTTGTTGGTCTCTAAATCCCCTCCAGTCATTTACTTCCCTAGACACTAAAGTGTGGTTTCTACTCAACCCTTGGCTTAAATAATTTTTACCAAAATGACTTACTGTTATATTCAGTGTAAAAGTTTCTTTCCAATCCATATATTACTTCATCTCTCTATGTCAGCAGACAAAGATATGTTTATAATTTTTCTATAGCACTTACACTTTTGAGTTTCTTCTTTTTCCTCTGACTATTGCTTTTCTTCAGAGTCCTTTGGACAGCAAGGAGATCAAACCAGTCATGAGCTAAATGAGTCATGACGCTAAAGGAAATCAACCCTGAATACACACCAGAAGGACTGATGCTGAAGCTGAAGCTCCAATACCTTAGCCACCTGATGCAAAGAGCTGACTCTTTGGAAAAGACCCTGGGGCTGGGAAAGACTGAGGGCAGGAGGAGAAGAGGATGACAGAGGATGAGATGGTTGGATGGCATCACCAACTCAATGGACATGAGTTTGAGCAAACTCTGGGAGAGAGTGAAGGACAGGGAAGCCTGGCGTGCTGCAGTCCATGGGTTTGCAGAGTCGGACGTGACTGAGCGACTAAACGACAACAATTGCCTTTCTGAATATTCTCAATTTATCCTTCTTCATTCTTCCCTTTAATTCTATTTCCAGGACAATTACTTCAACACTTCAAGACAATGAATATG